CGCGTTGCCGACGACGCAAACATCCTCTCCGACAAAGGAGTGCTAAGGCACACCAACAGCATCCTCGTGAATAACTTAGCGGTTTGCAGATTGCTGGGTCACTCGTATTGGAGACAGCTTTTCTGCCTCAACCTTGACTTGCTCAACGTGTACAGGCTTCTTTCTGACAAGATCGCTGCCTTGATTGTCAATCACGATGAGCAAAGCTGTGAACATGGCCTGGTTCGGTCGATGCGAGATGTAAGGAAGGCCGTCCTCAATCTCCTGACGTCTTGGATTCTGCAGTGTGACAACCCCATGCTGGTATGTTGAAGTAGGTTTGATTGGGACAGCCCACGGCATGCTTTTCAGGCTGTGATATGTCTAGGCTAAAATGACGCCATTGCAGAGGCAACCAATCAGGTACTTGAGACACAGTGCAGGTTAACGTTTGACACTTAATGATTAGCAAAATGCTAATGTAAAACATACTTGAGTAGATCTTGTAAGACATCCAACCTCATCATGAACTCTTGATTATTCTTAAAGAAACAACTTGAGGCACTGTGATAAAAGCTGGTCACTCAACTGTTTTCCACGCATTGCAGATTGCCAATGACGATTTCGTGGTGCCTTTGCTGGAAGCGATCGTTACAGACTACTAGCGGAGTAATTCCATTTCACGCGAACCAGAGGTGCTCACAACTATGGCCGCAGTCGTCAATGGGTTGGGCGATAGTGTTCTCCATTCTTTTCCTGGCATCCTACACACCGTCCTCCAGTGTACGCTGGAGATGATCAGCGAGGGCGAGGATGTGTTTACTGAACTTCACAGCAATTTCTTCATTCTCCTGCAAGCGATCAGCTCATACGCTTTCCCGGCTCTGCTCACATTGCAAACGGCCGAAATAAAGGCCATTTTGAATAGTGTGATTCGGGCAACCAAGCACTCCACGCCACAGGTATCAAACCAAATTTACTCTTGATGCATATCGTCTTCAAATATATACATTAGGCTAACATTCTAGTCAGTGCGAATTTCAGCATTTAGATGATGTCATTCATTCAACTAAATCGAGTGAAAGGTGTGTGCACCACCTTGAGTTTCGATAGTTTTATTGGTTAACCTAATCGAAAAAGC